CTGGTTTTTCGACAATTCCGGAAAATTCCCGCTTGTTGATTGCCCACGTTCAAACCAGAAAAAAGTTCCCCACCCAGTTCCAAGCTGCGGTTTCCCCAAACAACCCACGGGTGAACCCACGCTTTCCCCCAAACCACCACACTCGACGTGAGCGAGTTTCGCTGGCCCAAGCTTGAAGACTCCTATAGATCAAGGGGTTTGGGTGTTTTGGCGAACATCTCTGCCTGCGGCCCAGCATGATGCCCAGCTAGATCTCGAGATGCCATAGATCGCGTGTGATAGATCAGATCCGTGTGTGTGGGTGGGTGTGGGGGCGACGAAGAAACAGGACGCAGGAAAAATGGGGGTGGCCCGAATGGCTGAAGTATGTTGAAGTTGCGATCACTCGCAGGCATGAGGATTTGTTGGCAGCATTGAATTGAAGTTGACCTGTCAGTTCAGTGGATAGGTGGAAAACGGATGACTGAAGATGTGTGAAGAATGACTTCCAGGAAAGCTGAGGGGGGGCAGAAGGGCGGGAAAGCTGATGGGGAGCTGTTTAGCCCGATGTGTGCTACAACTTGGATCATCTTGGGTCATCCCCCACGAAGCACACAACTCTGACCTTGATTGAGACGGGATTTCGTTTGCAGAGAATGAGTGTGGTTCCATGCGGCTTCCCCTGGTGAAGCACAGATTCGAAATTGATGTTGGTGCCCGTGGCGATAGAATTGCCAACCCAACTTTCTAAGATATCCATCCTTCATCAGCACTCAGATGTCCAGCCTTCGGCTCTCTGAAGCAGCCGCTTTCGTGCCGTCCTTTTTTTGGTGCGATGAAGTGGCATTCACCGCGGGCGAAATCGCTGGTCCGCAGTCCATGTGTGTCACGCACCGTTGGAGAATTTTTTTTTGTGGCATCGCGGCGAGAAGGTTGCAGGATGAGCTGAGACTGCAAGATAACATATCGCGTATTACGCGCTCCCCCTTGCTTGCACCAGGGTCGGCGGATAATAGGTCACATCATGATCCAACAAAACCCTGGCCGCCCTAATTAGCCCTCCAACCACTGCGTGGTTAATATGTTTTATAGTTGTTACATGTTGGACTCCCGGCCCGTTGGACTCCCGACCCCCCCCCCACCCAACAGGTGGATTCTGGACCACTAAGGCAGGTGGATTCTGGACCACCCCCCGCGTTGGAAGGCATCCGGTGTGAACTCGCTGGGAGGCCGGTTATCCATTTGGGTCTGTCAGAACTGACTAACAGGACCCGTAAACAACCAGCAAATCACGACTTTTGGACTGTCGGCCTACAACCTGGGCCCATCATCATCCACTGGGCCCAGGTAGACTCAGATAGGCCCAAGTGATCCATCCTGATCGGACTCAGTATCGGACATCACTGTCGGCCTTGGGGGGCCAGAACTCCAGACCCCTGGGTGTGCTGGTGCAGTCACCCCAAAATAGGATCGGGAGGGTTTGGGAGTCCGGTCTGCTTTTGTGGAGGCGTTTTCACCGTCGGGTTCGGCGAAGTCTTTGGGTCAAAAGCATGGGTCGTTCGGCTGAGTGAGATGTCCGGAATGTCCGGAACATGTTCCGGCGAAGAATGTTTGGCCTCCTTGTGTGTGAATGGGTCCTAATGGGTCAAAAGAGGCCTCCATCAGACAGAACCGTTTCGGCGGACACCGATCTGTTGGACCTAATTAGGCAGAATAAGCAGAATCAACCCATCTCAACCCCTTCTTTTCAGCTTCCCCGGAAACCTCGAGCCCCGGGTGGTTGGCGAAAAGAGGCCTCCTTAGGAACCCGACTCCATCCAGACTCCTTCCAACAGAGGTGGGTCAGGACCAGACCGTTCGCCTATCCCAGTTCGGTACCCCAGTAAGGTCCTATTTATGGTCACTTAACCTCTCTTGGTTGATCTGCAGCGAGCTGGAACTGCTCAGCCGAAGCAGCCAGCTTCACGAAGTGGATGGATGGAAAGCAGCCGAGCAGTCGCCCCATGCGACACGGGCGACGAGCAAAAGGGCTAAACTCTGTGCAACCTGCCTCGGCCGCATTTAGCTGCTAGACCTGGTGCGACCTGAGCGCTGCGCTGTGGTGGTCGGCCCTAGTATTCGTGCGGGATGATATCATGTCAATTTCATCTCCCTGCAGGTAACTTGGAACTCATCCCGAGCAAAGTTATTTTGGAAAAACACGACGAAAAAGTGTTTTCAGACTGGACTGGACCTGGAAACCGAGTTCAGACTGGACCTCGGAACCGCCTCGACTCACCCCAAGCTAAGCTCTTTCCGCGTGGTCTCGTGAGTTCCGGGGCTTCCGCGACAAAGCACGCGACCCAAACCAGGTCAACCGCCAAGCAGGGTTCCAACTCATAAGCCATTTTCATGTCCTCATTCAGTCACCTTCATCCATGGACACGTGGATGCCACGAGCATATGATCTCTTTTCATGGCCCGACCGGTTGTTTCGGCGCACGGAATAGGAGGAGAAGTGCATGTGTGCAACATTAGGGCTCGATGAATCGAGTCCTGGAACCGCTCATCCGAATACGACCTGCGCATCGGCGGATCGGGTAATGTGTCTCTTCCCTGACATGGGGTGTTGACTTGGATGACTTGGGCTCCGGATCCTCAAAGCAAATCCAAGACGACCATCCCTCATCATCCCTCCATGTCAAAGCATCGATCGAACACATGGAACCCCGAAGATGGGATCTTTGAACAAGGAACTGTGGACACCTTGTAGCATCCAATACCTAAGAAACTCCACACATGTGCGGCAGCTCTCTCGTTGGTCATCATTTGGTCAAAAGAAAACATCACAGCGCAGAAGAATGAATCGAATTGTGGGTTTGTACTTGTTTTAGACAAGTGCGCTTGAGATCGGGAATGAAAAGGGCGTCTTTTTCCGGAGTGGGAGTGAACCTTGGGGGCTCAAAGCAGGACTCCACCAAGCAGTTTCGGTGGGCTTAGTAATTCTCAGAAATCCACAGCTAGAAACTGACAAGAGGAAGTGTTCATCTTCCAAAGCAGCACTCGCAGGCCCATTTTACTATTGAGTGAAAGAATCCCTCATAAAAAGACATCAACCGTCCGCCAGGACCTTCGTTACGTGACATGAAATCCCAGTGGCGGGTCGGTCACAGTCCATCTCTAAAGAAGTCACAAACAGAGACTCCAAAGAGGTCACGTACTGAAGCTCCTGGCAATGCAGCCTGGTGACTGGTCTCATCCGAGACCTGCGACGAAAAGAACTACTAGCCACGATCGCCCAGTGGCGAACAGACCTCGAGATGAGGGTAGCCAGGCCTGGCTAGAGGTGTATCATAGTGTCTCCAGGGTGTCTGTGCAAATGGGGAGCTTGGAGCTGCAGGGAGGTCCCATGCAGGCTGGAGCGAAACAGAAGAAAATGGAGGCCGAAGCCTCTTCCCATGACCAACCGTCTAAATCTCTAGGGACCTGTTTGGAAGCACACAGGGCTTCGTCCATGATCGCCTTTGATCCTCCGTCCGGTGCTGCGCAAGCTCCCAAGCCCTCAGGGATGAAGACGCCAAACAGTGAATGAGCTTCAAGCCACAGAACCGAGCGGTCAAGGGAAGAGCTTGGCCTCCAACTGTTGGTTGAGCAGCTTTTCTTGTGTCTTTTTCCAGTTGCCAACCGGATAGGTGGTGCTCGGTGATGAGATCGTTTTGCTTTTGCGGTAAAAAGGGGTATAAGATGGTATAAGTATGTATAAGTAAGGCTTTTTCCCCGAACTGGGTGAATCCCCTATAGGCCCTAACCTGGTGAATATGTGTTTGTGCGTTCCAGAAATCCAAGTCGTTGGAGACCTGCTTGTGCCACAACACTCTTGGCTTCGACCTACTGGCACTGGCGGGTCTCACCGCAAGGGTCGTGGAAGGTTCGGGCGCTCGCTCGGGCAGTCGACCGGGTCACAGAGTCCTCCGCGCCATGTTCATCACTTTTTGCGGGTGAAGGTGACAGTTGTGTCATGTTCATCAAGATGACGATGATCATTTAGAGAAAGGTGTACAGCCAAAGAAGTTTCAGTTCCCGAAAAAGTTGCTCCCTGCAAGCCCTCCAAGAAAGTTTAGGTCAATGGAATGCATGACACACTGGTTCATGCATGTTGCAAGCTAATTTTACGGGCACAGATACACAAAGAAAAGCATGTCAAACACTGCATCAAGCTAATTTTTACCATGCTGCGAAAAGGTCAAGACGTCCTCCTGAGCTTTTCAAGAAAAGCATCCAAATGGCGTAACATCCGACGTGCCAAGCGTCCTGGAGTCTCTCCGACGTTTGCGTCCAGTGTGAATGGCAATCTCGGTCGCCGCCTCATGCTGCGATCCTGACATCTGACGATGCAGCGGACTAGACAGAGGCCGGAGCGGGGTTTGGGGGAGTTTGGGGGGTTGTACCACTGGCTGTGATGCATTCGCGGGACGTTGGCCTTAGGATTTGTTGGCTCACCATTGATTTAGGGATTGAATCCCGAAGAACCCGAGTTTTGGCTGAAGATATTTAAAACTTGCCTTTAGGTGATCCAAAAATAGTGTTCCTCTACTTCGGTGGTGGAAAATATTGTCTTTGGACTTCCAGCGTTGGCTTTGGTATCTCCCCAGAATCGGTGTCTAGGGTGGTTTGTGAATCTCCACTATGACGGAACATGGACTGGAAGCAGCGACTCAGAGAGAGAGAGAGAGAGAGACCACCCTGCGCAAATGTGCAGGGTTTTGTTAGCCCTTAATAACCATGGGGGCTAGTTGAGAGCGCTTGGTCCTCTCTTGTATTTGCAGCTAGGTCAGCGACCGGTTCACGAATCCTCTGCAAACGATCCCATGGAACCTGAGAATTCACCCGAAGAAGGCCATGTACCGAATACCAACCCGACGTGGTTTTGGGAGTTCACGTGGTCCTTTGTTCAAAGGTACTGTATCCTTTACAAGCAGCTCGGGCAGCCGAGAAGGTGGGCCAGAACCCCCGAGCCGAACGCTGGCCGAACCGCAGGCCAGATGCCTGATTGGCCCTTTCCGCCAGGCACTGGCGAGAAGGAAGGGAGATGGATGTCAATGAATCTGTGGTGGCTGTGAGTTCAACCCTCTCCAGGTTGTGCCTACGTTTTGACCCACAGCCTGGTAGGTAGTAGAATTCTGGTGCAGTACTCCAGTGATAGTTACCCCTCCCTCCAACAAACATGGAAGTAGGCGTACTATGACGTACTGCCCTCTTTGCAGTGGAACATGGTCTTTCGGGGGGCCCTCGCCATCCACGTCCATCGTACTATGAGTTACTGCGGCAGGGATATGGATGCGACTCATGCGCATGGGCGCTGGACATTGAATGGTTCTTCTGGGAGCTAATCAGCTTTGCCCGTCGAAATTTCACTTGATGTGGCTTTTTGCGAAGAGATGATGTTGCAGACCCAAAATCATCCCAAATCCTTCGGAAAGCCGTTGGGTTTGGCAGAACATCCGATCCCAAAATCATCAGACTGGTGAAATCCAATGGGTAAAAGCCATGCTCGGCAGCTGGTTCAGGTCTTGAAAGTGCGTTGTGTTTGGTGTGTGCGATCGTCCACACCTGCCCCATCGGGTCCCCAGAATGGTGAGGACGATGGTGAGACACCCACCATCCTCCATCCTCTACAAGAGTGTCCTGGTTGGGGATCTTGAAAGGTCTTCAAAGTACTTTTAGTTATCCCGGCAGACTCCAAACAGTGTTCAGAGGTCTGGAGGTCTAAGGTCTGGAGGTGTAGAAGGAGAAGGTAAGTATTGGGCCCCAGAGAGATCTAGAGGTCCAGAGGTCTTGAGATCCGGTGGTCTTGAGATCCAGCAGAGAGATCTAGACGTCTAGAAAGATCTAAAGAGAGATCTAGGTCACAGATCTAGAAATCTAGAGCCCTAGAGATCCAGAGCTGTAGAGGTGTTCTAGAAGGTCTAGTAGTGTTCTAGAGGTCTAGAGGTCTAGGCCTAGAAGCCGAGATCCAGGGGATTCTTGAGATCTCAAGATCGGAGGCCCAGTGTTCAGTTGGTGTGTTATCTTCTTCCTCGTCGTTCAAACAACATTTGCGGGTGCTGAGCAAAATACCACCCACAGTTTGGCCAACTGGGGCTGGTGAGCCTGAAGATCAGTACTTCCCGGACTATGTCCAGGTATCGCCAAGGAGGTTGAATATCTCAAAGTCGTTTGCAATCCAGAGATGGCAGCCGATGATCCGCCGATCTTCGAGGGATGCGCCCCTCCTGGTTGTTCCAGGAGGCCAAGACCATCTCCGATCCCAAGTCCAGCGTCCAGAAAAGCGGCACGACCGTCCCAAGGTGCAGATCAAGACCCAGGGCTCTGACCGGGAAGTTGGCAAGGAACATGGCGCCCAAACCGGCCACGCCAGCAATGCCCAAGCCGCCCAAGCCCGAAGAGAAGGAGAGGAGCAAAGAGAAGAAGGTGCCAGTGGAAAGCCCAACTGGGCACTGACGAGGGCGGTGAGGAGGAGCAGCCTCCCTATCTGACCGTTTTCCAGTATTTTTGAAACCATCGAACGACTCCAAGGTTCCACCACAAAAAACAGAAGCCTGTGGCAGAGCTAGCAGGAGTGATTGAGCTGGTTCTGTAGTCATTGTGCTCATGATGAAAGCCCTAGTAGCACAGAGGCTGGATTCAACATGGAGGGCAGGAAAGCTGAGGAAAGTTGAAACTTTCAGGCGGGGGGAGTGGGCGAGGGCTTGGATGTTGTGGCGGTCCGTGGTGGTTTTTGGGCACTTTCCACCTGGTGCCCCAGCCACGGGCACCACTTGCAGGAGCTCACGGCATGGAAGCTCAACCTCCTCAACCGCAACAATTTGATGCTCTCTGTCAAGATCCATGGAGCCCAGCTGAGGTGGATCACTAGCAGGTGCAGCACATCCTCCTCGCACATACGCATCTGCAAGGGTGCACTGCACCTGTCTCCATGCGTAGCATCAACACCGGCCTGGTGGTAGCATTATGCGGGAACATACCTGCTGAAGGGTGACCCATCCCTTGCGGAGCTCCTGGCGGAGAAAACGTCCGGCGGGTGGATGCGCCAAAGTCGTGCACTCGGCGTCGGGGCGGAGCCGGACCATGTCCGCTTGACCACGGTCGCGCCCACGCTCTCAAACACATACCACGTGCTCGAGCACCAGGCCATCATCCGTTGCATTTTCTGCCATGGCTCTCCACCGACCAATGGAGAACGATGAGACAGTGACTTTCCTCCACTTCCACCTATTATTTTCGCTGCTGGACGTGCGGATGGCGCTAAGGCCGAGCTTCTCGGCGAGGAGCACAAGCCGGACGACGCCCTAGGCCAGTTCTACAAACTGGCACTCGCGCGCACGTTCCTCCGCTGGAGGGCCGGCTCGGTGTGCGAGAAGGCCGCCCCTCGCGCGCACTGGCCTGATGGCGCTGGGGTCGCACCAGACCTGGGTGAAGTGCGTGAAGGGCTGGCTCCGACAGCACAAGGCGCGCGTGTTGTCGTTTTTTTTTCGACGGACGCCCCCGTCCTCCAAGGATCCCCCGTCGCGCAAACCTGAACGAAGCCCAACGCTCGGAAGCAAGAAGACGCGCGTGTCCATAGACGCCACACATGTGGGACCACGACGAAGAAGCAGTCCCAACCCCTTTTTCTGTAGCCTTGAGCTAGTGAGAGACGAAACAAGAGCTGGCGGACAGAGCGCCCACAAGAAGGAGGAAAGCTAGGGAGACGAAAGAAAACAGAAAGGAACGCATACTGAAATTATCGAACGATCGATCGACAGAAGGACGTGGTCCGCTCACGGCCGCGAGTCGAAAGTCATTGTGGTCACAGTAGTAGTTGGAGCAGTCATGGAGTAGTCGTCGTGGTAGTCGTTGGTTGTGGTTGTAGTAGTGGCAGCAGTCGCCGTGTGGTGGTGGTGGCTCTGGTGGCTCTGCGCAGTAGGCGATTTTGAAGTCTTGCCCGCGCTGACATGTTGTTCCTGCATGCCAGGTATAACAGTATAACAGATGCTGGAGGTCACCTTGACGCCGCAGTATTCCGTCCACCTTGCATGGCAGGCTTTATGAGTGCACCTCCGCTGACACCCGAGGGTAAAATTTAGAGGAGGAACGTGCCAATCCAAGGACGCATACCTTTTGTTACCCGGCCGATGGTGAAATCTAGATTCCCACGGCGCATACCTTTTGTGAGCAACCGGAGGGTAAAATTTAGAGAGGCAGGTGCCATTCCAACAGTGCATACCTGCCACTCCAACGGTGCATGCCTTTTGTGAGCCACGCGAGGGTGAAATTTAGTGGAGGAATGCGCCAATCCAACGATGCATACCTTTTGTGCCCCAGCCGAGGCTGAAATTTAGATGAGGCTGGTGCCATTCCCACGGTGCATACCTTTGTGAGCCACCCGACGGTAAAATTTAGAGGAGGAATGTTCCAATCCAACGATGCAAACCTTTTGTGACTCAGCCGAGGATGAAATTTAGAGGAGGAATGTACCAATCCAACGATGCAAACCTTTTGTGAGCCACCCGAGGGCAAAATTTAGAGGAGGAAGCTGCCAATCCAACAGTGCATACGTTTTCTGACCCAGCCGAGGGTGAAGTTTAGATGAGGCACCTTTTGTGCGCAACTGGAGGATACAATTTAGATGAGGCAGGTGCCATTCCAACGGTGCATACTTATGTGAGCCACCCGAGGGTAAGATTTAACCTTTTGTGAGCCACCCGAGGGTAAAATTGAGAAGAGGAATGCGCCAATCCAACGATGCATACCTTTTCTAACCCACCCGAGGGTGAAATTTAGATGAGGCTGGTGCCATTCCCACGGCGCATACCTTTTTCCATGATAGTGAAAACCAACCACCCAACACAATGAATGTAAGGAGCAAAGGCTGCGGACGCAGGTGATCAGTGAAAAGTCGTATGAGGTGGTGTAACTTGGTTTTCTTTTCTGGTCAACGTTGATTTCCATGGGCACAAGTGGTCCATTGAGAATCCAAAATACTAGCAGGGCCACACAAACTACCCGCGCGCCGGAAAACCCGGCTGTAGAACACAACACCTGATGGTAGAAAAGGTGCTTGTCACATGGGTGATTTGAAGAGCGAATGACTAGTCTTCACTTGCCTGGAGCTTAGACAGAGCCACCGGACGCTTTTTCCCTGCGTGTGATCAATGGAGAACAAAATTCTTTGCCAGTTGCAATGTTCTGTCCTTATTTCAAGCATTGTGAGAGCAAGATGGTTCACTTGAGGATACATGTGCCAAGGGTCAATGCAGTCAAGAATATGCACTACAAGGGAGTGGAAGTTTGATCCTTCAAAAATTCGCTTGGCAGACTTCAGAGCCACCGCAGTGGTTGGGCAGCGCCGGCATGTCTGAGTGCATCTGGGAATTTTCTGCTTCAGCGATCTTGATCGGATTGGCCGTCCAAATCAGCGCGTATTTTCAGGATATGTAGAGGCCCCAGCGTGTCTTTCCAAATTACTGCCTTTCAAACACTGGCTCAGTTGAAACCCAGACACAAACCTCTCAACCAGCTATGCACAGTCTCCAAGCAAGTCTTGTCTTGTTTACAAAGCGCTGCGCCTGCCACGAAATCTAGGTTCGCAAATCGCCATGTTGACCACAAAATGTTCACTTCCACGTTCAAACAGTGCGGCCGGCGCCTGCTACGAAATCTGCACTGCCACGAAATCTGCATATCAAGATTCACCTCGTACAGCCCGCAGCCCTGCCAAGGCGTTTCGCAGCAAGACCTTCCAGACAACATCAAGATGCCAAAACGCGCCTCTCACTCGAGATGTCCTCGGACTTCTGAAAACGAACCACATGTCCAAAGGTCACGATTAAATGCACCTGCCACGAAATCAGAGCGCGCCGAAGACCACCACGATGTCCAAAGCGCTGCCGCTGCGCTCGCCACAAAAGGTGATCACGAAAACGCGTGCAGCACCACAACGAAAGCAATGTCGAGGAAAGAACCCCAACCCAGCAGATTCTGCGAGCCTGCGCAATCGAAATGCACATCAAAGATTAATGTCAATAGCTGCGAACTGCCGCCGACGGATGCGAGCACCACCGATCAGATCCCCAGCTTTAACTCGGACCATCCCCTTGCAAGTCTGTTCCACAAGTCGGGCATCGCACAGGTTCTTGAGTTGGGCCTATTAAGATTATGGATCCCAGGGCTCGAATCAGTTGTTCTTCCCGAACCACCTACCGGCAGCTGCTTTACATTGTTTTACTATGGACGCGTGACCCCGAACGGGCTTAGTCCGACTTGGGCGAGTGGAAACCAGTTCAGGGGACAGCGACTGGCGTGGGGGGCAGCTCTGGGGGGGGGCCGGGTTCTTTTCCCGCTTGGGTGAATCTCCTTGCATGTTCCCCAGAGAATGAGAGCTATTGAATTTCGATCTGGGGAGTTAGGGGGTCGGCTTTTAATGGCTTTGTAAGAACGTCGGAGGTGGCTTGAAGCCGGAAGAGGGGAAAGAGGGAAGGAGTCAAAACCACTTTTTCGCAAATTGGTCAGCCAGGTTCGAAACCAGTCCACATCCTGGACTCCTTCCAATGATTTACAGTGATATACCCACCGCACTGCTTGTTTACAACTCACTTCCGCGTTGGGAGGCGTCTTCGGGCAGCACTTGGATCTGCAGCACGCCCGTTCGCCCCACGGTGCTTCGCCCCGGCGCCGCGCCGCCGCGCGGCAAGCCCCACGGCGAACGCCGCTCGGAGTGTCCAACGTGACGCGGTGGGTCGAGAGCACTCAAAAACGATATTGAAATAGTGCGATGTTGAACTCCCAAAAGCGATAATGTTCGTTAACCCATGCAACAATCACTTGAGGTTTTGCCGATGGCTCACATGAATGTGGATGGCATGGTTATCATGATGTGGCATGGTTCCTTCAATGACTCCTCTACAAACAAGGGTTGACCTCCACTTCTATGTTAGCCGGAGTATATCTGTTGATTTTTCCAAAACAATTTAGACCATTGAAGATTCCGGTGTTTCTTGTGATTTCTGACATTCCTCAAGATGAATACGGGCCAACCATGCGGTTTTTGGAGCAAGGGACTTTGCATCGGGACAAGTTTTGAATAGTTTCACCAATACATCTCCAAATCTTCTATAAAGAGTTTCGACCTCTGACTGACTGGAGATTCAGAACCTCATAGTTTCTGTTGTTGTTTTTTCAGGATCCCGCCCCTGGTCGTTTGGAATTCTTGGGAAGTCTTGGCACCAAGCTTCAGCGATCGGCAGTACCACCGGCTCAGCCGCCGTGCCTTCTTGCCCGGCGAAGGCAAGAGCTCTGGCAGCGTCGCCGCTTAGAGCATTCCGCTCGGGAGCCCAGGTGACTACAGTGGAAGCCGTCGCTAGCAGGGTGGAGGTCATAGCTTTAGTAGGTTGGAGGCCATGCCGCTCGGGAAAAATGGGCATCATGGCCGCGTCACGCAGCGAGGTGAGAATCGCTGGGTGGTGGGCGATTTGTTCGAATGCGTGACTGGTTTCTTGGGGATGTCCATAGGTCATCGCAGATCATCACGGTACTTTGTGTGCAGTAGTTCTGAAGAAGTCATGATTATGGTTGGAATCCCAGTCGTGTTCAGACTGCTTCATCGTACTTGCAAATCGACGCGTTGGAGCAGTTAAATCTGCGTACTTCAAACGCAACAGTTGTTGGCGATGTTTTGGGTCCACAGCCGTGCTTTTTCACTCCTGGGCCTCATTGCTGCTCGGATGGTGTTTTTGCTTCCCCGGTGGCCTGCAAGAATCATCCGTTCTCGCCGGTTCTCTTGATGCCTCCTTGCACTGCTCCTCCATGCAAAGGGCAGATATGTTGCATAGTTGGAAGATCTAGGCACAGGTTGAACAAGACATCCACTCACTCATACCGGGTTCCACCTCACTTCCTGAGGTCTTTTGGTCGAGCGCTTCAGGGATGCGTGTATTTTTCTGTTCAAAAAAGAATAAGGGAAAGGGTTTAAGGTCTTTTACTCACCAGCGGTTTTCGAAAAGGCGGGGGGAGGCAGGTGTTGTTTTGGAGCTGTCTGCAGATCGGGAGGTGGACATGACCACAATGTCAACAAAGGGATCTCCTAGGAGAATCCGAGAGTCGCTCGTCCTGCGACTTCTTGGAGGACTTGATCAACAACTCATCAGTCTCAAAAAGCTTGCCACGTCTTGGTTTCGAGAAAGGTAAAGGTGTTCCAGCACCCCGTGGGTGCACAGCTTGGCATAGCTTGGCACCACGTGGATGGTGCCCCATTTTTTTCATCCCTATCCTTCACGGATCGCAACCGGACTCCAAGGAATTGGGCAACAGCTGTCTTAGGGCAACTGGTGGGTCGCACCTGTTGCACCAATCCTTCACCCATCCTTCACCCATCCCCTATCATCCCCTATCATCCCCTATCCCTTTTGTTCGAAAAAAATAAAGTAAAAAGAGACATCTGTTACTGTTGAGCCTGTTGCCCTGAGATTTCGGTCCCTCCTCCCACTTTCTCCAGGGTGGTTTGCTTAGGGTCGAAAGGGAACCCCCGTTCCCGTCGCGACCGGTCGCGACCGGCGTTAAGGGTCATCCAGTTTGACCATTCCTTGGCAGCCAGAGTGTTCCGGCAAAGAACGAACTTCAGATCACCTTGGTTTAGTGAGACCAACCTTTAAAAGAACGAGCCTTTCCCTGGACTTCCACTGGATCTTCTTTGGGAGAAGCCTCAGGTCCGGGAGGAATGGGCTGCACCGGTGGAGCTGGAGCCACCGGAGCCAGAAGAGGTGAAGAAGGACCGATTTGCGTCGACCTGGGCGGAGACCTGGTGGAGTTGCTTTGGATTGGCCCCTGAAAACTGGGTTCAATCTAGAGCCATCTAGAGCCATCTAGAGCCTGGAGATGACCCCTTGAACTTGAAGGTGCTTAAGTTCTGGGTGTGGCATTCCATATCTCTCCTTTGGAAATAGCTCAGACAACGGAGTTGGAGGTGGTTCCCTGGCTGGTCACGGACGTTGTCCCTTCTGCACGAAGCTCCGAAACTGCGCGAACCTCCGAAACACACGCGACGACTCGTTTGGTGCGTCTGTTGAGAGGCCCAGGAAACGACGACCAACAGAGGTTGAAGTCAGGACCCGACCGTTCGACTATCCCAGGCCAGGGTACCCCAGGTTATGGGTCCTAGTTCAGGTCACTTTACCTGTCTTGGTATCTTTGGCACCAGCGAAGTGTTTTCACAGGTTTTCCGAACTTTTGGTTAGCATGTTTGCCCGAGATCTCTAAGATCTCCCCATGGTCTTGGAAGGCGTTCGGGTGTACGTGATGTGTAAGGTCCATTTGTGCATGTGTTTTTCCTACGAACGAGGCCTTTCAGGTGACGAAGGAAAGACGTTCAACGGTTGAAAGAAGGGGTGGTTTACACCTCCATGTCAATGGAAATGAAAGGTTTTTAACTGGGAGTCCAGTCAACTATTTTGAATCCTGGGTCCAAAACTCTTTTACGTTTTAAGCATGTATTTCCGTTCAATGGCTGTTAGAATGATCCAAGAGATTGACCGAGAAAGAAGCAACTGAAGCAGGAAATGAGGCTTCTCTCTGTCTGGGCCTGCAAGGGCCCTGGAAGTCCAAGAAGTCTTCGGACTTCCCACGGACTTTGAGACTTGCCCTCCGCGCAGGACGCTGTCCAGCCGGGTGCAGAAAGCCCCAAGGCAGAAGCTCAGGAGCCGACCGATCAACGCTGACTCGGCCGCGCCGTGCAGATGTTGCGGAGCGCAGATCTACAGCTGTGAAGACCCAAATGTTCCTCATATGACTGGGGTTGATCATAGAAAAGCACTGATATATACCCTGGGAGTCAAAGACTATAAAAAGAATGGTCTCTAGGGGACCTGAAAGGGAACTTCCTTTACTCCAGCCAGTCAAAAAATAGTCTTTGGACTTCTAGGGTATACCTTATAAGAGTCTTTCACTGGGGGAGACTGGACCGACTCCGTCGTCCGACCTCCCAACGGTTTGAAAGTGAGGAGCCGGTGAGGAGCCAAGATGGTGTCCATGAGAAACGACTCCTCACAACCCCATGCGGAAAAGGCAATAGGAAGCAAAACAGGAAGGCTTGAAATGTGGGAAATTGGGAACCAAAAAAATCAGAGTTCAGGTCTGTGTTGAGTGCGGAAGATGATGGCATGGCATTCAGCGGATGCGTGAAGTGTGCCAAACACCTGATGCGCGACCTCAAGTTGAGCCCAAGCATTCGCAGGAGCTGTGCTTTGTCGCTCATTTGGTTGAAGTTGTTCACATTCCTCTTTCCAACTGAATCATGTTCTGAAACTCTGTGCCCTCAGGGGCCATGAACTGGCGCAAAACCATTGGCCCGTGGCGCACTTTCGTCACTGCTTTGACATGGCTCTTTGAAGCCCCTGTGGTTGGAAACCAACTGCTTGACCTCAGCTGCTTGACTGAAGACGCCAGCTGTGCCCTCAGCGCCAGCTGTGCGCTTCAACCCACTCTTGTGCAAAGCAAGCTACGCACATCAGTCCATCAGGTGTCGCGGCCAACCCAACTTTGCTTTGCCATGTGCTGCTGGTCGCAAGAGAAGGACTTGAGAACGCTCCTTCTCAAAGACGTCACTCACCATCAACCAGTCTGCTTCTTTCTGACACACTTGCTGGCCCCCTGCTGCTCACTCCATCATACTGCAGTTTCTTGCCGCCGTCCTTGAGTTTCTCGTTGCTTGGTGTTTGCAGGAGGCTCTACTGAAGGACTTGAGGAACCCACTGCGCAGTGCCAAAACCATCAGCATCACGCGAGACGGTAGGAGGCAAAGGTTGCTGATTCGCTATGGCCTTTTGCGATGAACACAGGGTCGTGCTTCTTCCGGAATGCCGGGCATGGCCAGAAGTTTTGGAGAATCAGGCATAGACATTGTGAAGGCTACCAAGCATGTCTTCGTGTGTGCACGTACAATGATCACCTACCTACGCTGGTACGCTGGCCCAGAGCCAATTCTGCGGTGCTGTGGCGAAACATATTCCAACAACATCATGTCTATGCAGATTCCCAGCGGAAACCCAGCTGGGCCCAGCACTTGAAGGCCTAGAATCTAGAAGAATCCCTTGCTATGTAACAGCCGACAGTGATTTCACATAAGAAATGTGGCTTGCTTGCCAGTTGTCAGTTGGGGCGTTGGATGTGTACTAGCTACCGGTGTTTGTTTGTATTTTTTTGGTCGTGTTTTTTAGCCAAGACGACGACGCTGTGTTTGAGACCGGATGTTGAAGTTCAGGCTGGAAAAGGGTGGACGAGTATTGCTTGACTGGTCGTCTCAGCCGCCTCACATCCACCCAACTGGAGTCATTTCCGAACTGGATCGGTTCTCCTTCTCTTCGACATACTCCTTCCTCACACAGCACAGGCAACTCTCCATATCCTCAATGGATTTGTGGCTGACATGCAAGCATCGAAATATATATATATATACCCTGGGAGTCAAAGACTATAAAAAGAATGGTCTCTAGGGGACCTGAAAGGGAACTTCCTTTACTCCAGCCAGTCAAAAAATAGTCTTTGGACTTCTAGGGTATACATAACGGCGTGTGGTGTGTTGCTGAGGATGAGAAAGAGAAGATATTTTTGTTCTTCTTGCAAGGAGGTATGGCTTGATCCTTTTGCATCGCAGAAGACTGGATGAAGATGGTAGGTCTCGCAGCCGTACGACCCGATAGTTGAACCATGCAGAGACGAAAGCTTCGAAAGGGTTCCTCGTCCACACACCGGAAGGCTTCAAATGGGATCCTTCTCACTTAGAAGCCGATCTTCACGAAGCATGTGGATGATCTTGGCGTGGGCCTTCGCCTTCAAGAGCTCTGGTAGCGATCTCTTCCACGTTGTCGTCGGTCTTTCCGAAGACCACGTTGTCGGCCCGACCTCCGCATCTCTTGAAGCTGTACGCTGGACGCTGTACTTGACAAACTCATGGAGTCGTGTTCAAGTCTTGTGGAAGGATTGGGGTCCAGGAAACTACCTGAAAAACAAAGAAATCCTAACGTATCAAAAAACCGTGGGAAAACCAAGACAAAAAGCAATTCTGGGGAAGTCTTGGGGAAGGAGGGGGTCCAGCCAAAAGTCTTTGAGACTGTTTGTTTTTTCGAAAAATAAAAATGCCTTTTTGGATACTGCACAAAATGGAACAAGCAAATTTGGCCAAATCTTGACCTTCACTTTTTGTACTGTCATTTTCCCGTCCTTCAGAATGTATGTCCTTTTAACACGATTTCCTACAGGTTTTGCAGTGTTGCCAGGAAAACCATAATACCACAACTGCTTTGAATGCATGTATTATACTAGGTATAAAACACAGTCACAAAGCACTACAATGGTCAGCATCTTGAAAATCAGCATGAAACATTGTAAAACCAAGTGTTGTCACGTTAACAGGTAGGTATTGGGGGGGTGACACCTGTGACTGACGTGGGTTCTCTTCACGTTCGCGCGAGAACCCCCCGAAGTTCGATCTTCAGCCCCACGATCAGTGTTTGAGCCAAGGCTTTTGCCCGCTCCAAGGAACATAAGGAAGGCATCATGAACATCACTGATGTCTCACGAGAACCCGAGTCTTGGGGCTTACTAATCGAGGTATTCCTCGATTCATGTAGCTTCGTGTTTCTCATGTAGCTTCGTTGGCCTTGATGGATGGGTCAGAGAAAGAAGCAAGCGCTTGTTCCAAAGTCCGAGCGTCAGCGTGGTTTCTAGAGATTCCCCGATTCCCAAAGGCTTAAACTCTCTCCAATTCGGGTCGCGTTAGGCTCCCTGGGAGCCTTCAGGAGGAGGAAGAGGAGCCCGAACAGACCAATGAGCTCGACTGGCGCCGTGACCCTGATAAGCCTTTGATGCTTGGAGAGCTGAAGTTCGGTGGCGAAGTTCGGGTTGCCCCGTGAGGTTGGAGACAACCCCCAGGGGCCCCAGGTCTAAGCGGAAAAGAGCAAGGACGGATAGAACCTGATGGTCCTGCTCCCCAGTCCTGCTCCCCACTTCCGTACAGGGTTGAATGGCCATATTGCCACTCATTGGATCCGGTTGGGACGTTTTGAAGGGGAAAAGCCAGGTTGCCAGGTGAACCAAGAGTTGTTTTATGTTGTTTTGGCTGGTCGAAAAGAGGGAGACTGCCCACCTCACCAGTTTGAAGGTCATGAAACATATGAAACGCTGAGATCGAGCAGGGTGAATTGTTTCAAGACGTGGGTCTCAAGTGTTCTGGATCCAGCCGGAGTGGCTGGCCTCACTCAGTTTTGTGAGATCTGCCTTAAGCCAAACAAGGTTGACGCTGACGCGGGTTTCTGTGGTTCATTTTTTTTGGGGGGGGGTCCAACTGAGCAACATGTTGGGCATTTGCTTGGCGATTGTGGTTGTTGGTTTGCTTGATCACTGGTCGGAGTCTCTTCTGTCTGTTGGGGATGTTGCGATCTTCTGACCTTGTCGGGGATTTACTGAGTTACGGGGGGTACAGGATGGCACTCCCAGGTGGCAAAATAGGACTCGGCATAGGGGAGTGTTTTTCTTTTTTGCAGGGTCTAGGAGTTGTGTTTGTTTCGTGTTCTTCCCATTGCAGCCGCTGTTTGGCAGCTCCTGGACCGGTCATGTGGGCAGAAACCAATGACCATGTGCCATGAACAGGAGGGGTGCCCTCAACCCCAAAGGATTGGCCACAGGAAACGCAGCTGATGTGATTCTTATGGTCCGCTGGCGGACACCAGTGGGGCATTGAAAATCGATGGATTGGGGCAAAACCTGCACCGAGGCACTCGACAAAACCTGGCACCTTCCTGGGAATTGAGGGGTTTTTCATGTGCTGTTGTTAGGGTTCTTTTTCTTCGGACAGGACCAGTTCTTCTTGAACTGGGGAGGTCCAAAATGGTCGATGCCTTGGTTCTGCTTTTGAAGGCCGAAGCGAACGAAGAGAATAGACTTGCCTTTGTCACATGGGCTTCGCAGATGCCAGAAATTGATCAAAACGTTGACCTATTGCGCAACACGTTCCAAGACTTAAGATGTTTTGCACGGTAATCGGAAAAGGCATGCGAATTCGCATGGCTTCGCTGGACGGTGGGACGGACGCGTTACTCTCCACGCGTGGACGGAGACACGTTGACGTCAAGGATGAAGATGAGCATGACGCAGAACGTCAGTGCTCGGACGCGTTGGCAGGTGGGGGACCAGGGGTTCCGATGGCCGGGCGGCCAGGCGAAATTCCTCGAGGATCTCCCAGGAGACCAGCTTGAAGTATGCATAGACCTACCCAGGAAAAGTGGATCACCTGATAGCCTTTTGATGCCTTTTGGGGGATTGCTTTCTCCACTTAAACTAGATCTAAGTGGAAAGTTCGGTGAGCTGAAACTATTTGTTCAGGGAAACTGAGGGGGTCAGGATACTTGAATATGTTTGATTCGTTTTTGCTCACGTTATGCAAGTGGATGACCATCCACGTCCATCCACATGAAGCCACTACCACGTGTTGAAACCATTGCGCACATTGGGCACGGGGCCAACACACTGTCACCGTACATCCAGCTGGCACCCTTCGTTGTGAGCAAACATGAGGCTGGTCGTTCTGGTCGCTTTCTTTCGAAGCTATTTCGATCAGCGATGGGTCGCCAGGTCCTTGCTCGGTGGGTTGGCCTCTCCAAGAAAATTGTTCTGTTCATTTTTCCGTGGTCAGGACTCCCAGTTTTGACCTGTAGCCAGGTGACTTGAGATTTGGAATGTCCTCTGGCACCCTCGGTGGTGCCGAATTTGGGATTTCTGCTAGCTCATTGGCTCACTGGAAGCAACCAGCGGCACGGCGCTGCAAGCGACCAGGCGGCTGGATGTGTTGTAACATGTTGTAACAGGTTGCAACTTGGAAGTGGTCAAAACGCCTCGGAACCTGCTTCTCTCTCTCTCTCTCTCTCGTTTGACCGAACCTATCGTCCAGAGTCGAAGCCCTTCAAAGCCTCAGAATGGCTCGGATCCAACCGCCGAATCTCGCGCGACCCACCAGAATGCCTGCCACCTCCGTCGCCTGCCGCGCCGCCATCTCATCACCCCGGGCCCCGGGCCCGCCCTTCACTGCCGGCAGCCCGTGACCATCGCGCCAGGTGGCCTTCGCGAAGGTGCGCGAGATGACACAGGTCGCGCGGAAGCGGCAGCATCGGGTGGCCCTGGGCCTGAAGGTCAAGGCACGGCGTGGGGCGGCCGGGAAGGCATCCCGCGTAGGCGTGCCGCGTCGGCGCGGGGGGGACAGTTGGGGTTGGCTGTGAGGGATGTCATATGAGGGCGATGTTTTTTGGGAGGGGACGCATGGATTGAGTCGGATGCGGAAATGGATTTGGGGGGAGGGGGTCGTATTCTTGGGTCGTTGTGTTGTGATTTGTCCGATGTGTTTGGAGTTTGTTATTCGGCAAAGGGTTTGCCCGAAACTGAGGAGAAGAGATTCCTGATGTTGAGGATAGGATGGATTTTAAGACAGAAAAGGATACATGCTTGAAGGATTTGTTCGATTGATGTTCCGGAAGCGAGATCTTGATCGATCCTGCTTTGCACGTGCAGGCTTATCTACTCCCATCATGCTCAGAAAAGTGACACAAGGTTGATCCTTTTTGAACATCTAAAGCCATTTGGAAAACCACCCCCCAAAACCATTTGAGGTTCCGACCCCACTACTTGTGCCTGGGCGCAGCAACCTGTGCCGCGATGCGGCGCCCAGCTTCCATGGCCTCCTCTTGTGCAGGAATACCTCACCTTCCACCACTTGAGAGGCCTTCTTGGCTGGGGAGTGGCGGGCCTGGCGGGCCCAACAAGCGCCAGAAGCGCATGGACACCAAGCTTTGGAAATCCACGCTGGTGATGGGGAGGAGCGGTGGACTTTCAGGTGATTTGGGTCTTGTTTTTGGAAAGTCTTGAAGTTGAGGAGTCTTGGCGGCTGCAAATTACTACATACCCGGTAGGGTTTTCTAGACGCCTACTTTCGGGAGCCAGGGTTACAGCTGACACCACTGATCTTCCTCGCCCTAAGCGACCTGTGTTCGGCCACCTCACCGGCCCGGATGCCTTATGGACCACGGTCCGTTCGTGTTCGGTGACCCCATGTGAAACCCACCACAGCCATGGGGGTTCACCTCATGTGTCGCATGGTTCACCCCAAGTGCTCCAGCTTTGGGGGGAGTTTGACTTCGGAAGTCAGAATTGCTGTCACCTCTTCGACGAAATCCCGAGGGGCGACTTCTGCGGCCTCCCCTTCATGCCCCTTCTGCGGTTTGTTTTTTCAGAGGGCAAAGTGTAAATCTGGGAATGTTGCACTCAAGGAAAGGAACAGGAAGTCTCCATGGACAAAAACAACCACAAAGAAACGTTCACCAGATACCGGGTTTAATATGGTTTAATGATGTAATGGCACCACCACAGCAGAAAAAGATACCGGAAGGTGTTTGTGTTTGGCATCAATCATGAACTTGATGGTTCCCCGAATTCCTTCACTCATCGTGCGATGGGGCGCTTCATTGGGATTCCTTTTAATGGTTGTTTAGATGGCCTTTGGGTTCTACTATCCAGCAGAGGTTGAAGGACCTGAACTAGGACCCATGTGAAAAATTGGAGGACCCATAGCCGAACTAGGTAGCTCTTCTGACCCACCTCTGTTGGTAGCTCTTCTGACCTACTGGGGGACCCATAGGATAGCCGAACTAGGGTTCTGACCCACCTCTGTTGGTAGCTGGTGCTTTGAAGATCTTTGACAAGAGTGGGTCCTCAGGCACGGTCGTGCCTCATTCCGCCGCATGCCGCACGCCGCACGCCGGGTCACGGTCGCGACCAAGCCGAGCCTCGCGGACCGAGCTCCAGCTGCCGCGCACCGAGCGGAGGCGCCTGTGGAAAGATGGAACGCGCCGTGGACAGCTTCGAGCGTTCGCTCTTCAGCAACCAGGAGGTGGCCTATGACGTGTCCTTTGGTGCGAAACAAAAGTCGAACGATACGGGGGCAAAGCTGGGCGGGGGCAAAGCTGTGGTGTTCGTGGCAGCAGCTTACTGAGGGGATGAAGTCAGGGGACCTGTGTTTCACAGAGGTTCAGGCTTTTCACGACAGGTCGCCTGCTACCAGCGTTTGTGATTGCCGGCTACCTTTCGTTCACCCCCTCCTCTCTCAAGTAGGTGAGTTCGTGCTTCTTTTTGAGAGACCTCCGTCGCCTTGAAGAATCCGCAGTCGATGCCCGCAGCTTCGTCCGTGGCAGATGCGCCGTGATGCGCATTCGTGCTATGTGCATGGCTGCATCTCTTCAAACCAACCCAAGTATCCCAAGTCTTCATGTTCGCCGCAATGACTCAAAAAGATGTCACTTATGAACTCATGAACAGATGACCTTCGGTCTCGACCACCAGAGGATCTTACTCACCAAGTCCAGATAGAAGTTCCAAAGACGATGTCCTACCCGGGAAAAGGGATGACACTCAAAGCCTACATAATTAATGCCTACTTGATTTTTTCCCCAAACAGTGTGGACACACTTAGGGGTTCTTACGGTAGTTGTGAAGCACCGGTGCTAGATCGAGGTGTTGCGCGGTCGGGTCCGGCCATTTCGCTGCTATTTACATCAATTTACGGTACGTTCACGCCTCTCAAAATCGTCGACGTTTACTGCGGCGGGTGCTTGTCGCGACTGCGCTCTCGTTGTGGTGCGGTGCACATTTTCGGACATGGTGGTCACTTTTCGTGGCAGGCACAAGGGAAACCTCGTGTTTTGGTGGTCCTCCCGGCCCGAACCTTCACGCCCTACAGCACCAGCTGCAGCCGCCCCAAGTCCCGACGACCAGCATACTGATGAAGGTGAGCCGTTCGTTGAAGAGGAAGGACAGCAGGGTGAGGAGGGGGAGACCGCGCTTGCGCGGGACCGTTCCCATTGCATTTCGATCACAGGTCTCATGTCTATATACTTCCACGTTGTTTTGGTTCACGCCGCATCGAGAGTTTGCTTTGCTCATCGTGAAGACCTCTTGCTCACAGAGCGACACCATCCTTTCCACACGCAGTTCCATCCCGCAATCTTGGCCACGGCGAAGTGCAACCACGACATCAGTCTATGGTGCGTTGCCCCCATGAAGACAGCGCTATCGATGCGAGTGCCTTTGCCGCCCTCATTGCTTGTTCGACGCAAGTGGCGACGTACTATACCACTGCCTACATCAGTAAGGTGCAACCTCACCTGGCCAGTTGCGGCTCACGAATGAAGGCCAGCAGCCAAATGTATGGTGACGTGAGTAAACTGTGAAAACAGTGCATGTTCGGACGCAAAGTATGCATGTTCTTTTTGGTCCGCCGCCCTTGTCTCGAAATCGTCAGTTGTGCATTTCGACTGCGCAGGCTCGCAAAATCTGTGTGGGCGCGGCGGGCGCATGTCGCGACCGCGCTCTCGTTGTGGCGCGGCGCACATTTTCGGGCATGGCGGTCACTTTTCGTGGCAGGCGCAAGGGAAACCTCGTGCTTTGATGGTCCAAAGTCGATTTTTCGTGAGTAACCCGTGGCCTTTAGAAAAACAGCCTCGCAGTTCGGAGTAGGGGAGTCGGATTTCCTGATCCTGAAGTCGATACCTTGGTGGAAAGTGCGTTTGCGTGGCGTCGTGTTAGTGGGGAGCGCGGAACATGCTGGTGTAAACGCGGCGTGTCGCTGGTGAGCGGGATGATTGGTGGTATCATGCGATATAGCTTTTGAAGCTGGACTCAGAAGTGGCCAGTTTGTAGTACAAATGTAGTACGGGAAAGAGTTCTTCGGAGCTGGGCTCAGAAGCGGCCAGTTTGTACTACAAATGTAGTACGGGAAACCGCGAAGCATGCTGGTGTAAACGCGGCGTGTCGCTGGTGAGCGCGATGATTGGTGGTATCGTGTGATATGTTTGCTTCTAGCCTGTGACAGACCGTTTGCGCGAAATTGCGTTCGTGATGTCGCAGCGCCATTCGGATTTGCACGGCCTTGTGCGTTTGCGCGGCGCCGTGCCACTGGGGAGCGCGCAACATGCTGGCGCAAACGCGGCGCGTCGCTGGTGAGCGGGGTGTATCATGTGATATGTTTGCTTCTATTCTGTGGCGGACCGTGTGGCGAAATTACGCTCCGACACTGCCATGCGCATTTGCACGGCCTCGTGGAAATACAATGTTTCTCTTGCAACATGGCACTGGCGGGAGGGTTGAAGGACCTTTGATAGTACCTCTGATGTATAAAAAATTTCAACAACCAGGCCAGCCACAGTTGCAATAATATTTCTTGGGTCACATCATCACATCAAATACATCAGTTTTTCTGCTGGTTTTGTTCCCGAAGGATTCCGTGCGTATCTTGGAGCGGCTTCGACCCAGCAGCGAGCAAGTGGCTGCTCAAAAAGGGAGCAAAAGGCTTGAGATGCAGGCAGCGCTGCGTCATTGCAAATTTGAAGCTGTTCTGATGGTCAACTTGTCTGGGTATGTTGAGGATTGTGCCTTGGCCGTGGCTCGCCCTGATTCTGTCAAGTTTGTTGAGCTTCCCATGCATTTAGGCTATGTTCAGTTTTGTATTTGTGTGTTTTGCACGCGCTTTCACTGTGATGACTGCGCTGTGTGGGCCAAGCAAGGCTGTCGACTTGCGAGTGCAGGGGAGCATGAGTGGGACAGGTGGGCGCATCGACTTAAAGCGGCTCTACTAGTTGGACAGCCCCGAAACCATGAAGTATGGGAAGACCCGCTTGAACCGTGAACTTATGGATTGTGGGTGGGGAAGATCGAGTACGCGGGGATCCAGTTCAACGATGCGGACCCAACATTGGCTCAGAGTGATGCTCATTTGAACTGGGATTTGTGTAAAGCGTGTACAAAAGTTTTGATATGTGTCAGGCCTTGACCTAATCTTGGCTCATGATAAACCATTCACGCCTTCTTTTGGGGTTTTTGCTGCAGAGAGACCTCCAAAGGAGGAGGAGGCTACAAATGGTCCCAAGCCGGGGGAACTCTTGCCACTGAGCATCTCAGACTCAGCGGAATCATGTTTTGAGGCTGTGTTGCATGACAGCCGCAGTAATTAAGCTCTGCCAGGCTCGAGAAGCTCCAAGCTCTGCACACAGAGAAGTATGAATCCATTCTGACTTTCCGCCGATGTGGCTGTTGTTGAGACCGCTCAAAACGGTGGCGAAAAGAAGACCGCTGGTGAGGGCTTTCATGAGATGAAGGTGTTCGATTCGTTCCAGGCTCTCCAACAGGCTGACCAGATTGTTGCACGCTGCGCCTCTGTAGTGCAGCTGAAATCATCTAGCGGCAAAAAATGTGCCCGCATCGTCCCGAAGTTCACAGTGATCGGGGGCTATGGACTATGGAACTGGAAAGCCCCTCGGGTTCAATTTCATTTTGCCGACCAGATCCCAGACATGTGTTTTACAGGTACATCCCAGTCGAGCCAGTGGACAGTGCTTCTGAGGGAAAGCATGTGATCTTCGCACGGGGGAGAGGTGACAAGTCCATCATTCAAATCAATATGTCTTCGATGAACCCCGACTTGAATGACGCTATACCGATACCTTGTCAAGTTGGAGCGCGAAAAGCGGATCACCACCTACCAGGTCTCATACAGCGAGATTTCCCGGTCCAACTCTGACGGCAATGACGAGTTCCAGGTCAAAGTCCAAAACGGACACATGTACAAGCGCACGTTTGACGCTTCGAACGCTGTGAATTGCAAGAGTTTCTCTCGCAACTCTTTCAAAGCTGTGCAAAGCTCCCACCTCGTGATGACCGTGTTCAGGTTTCTTTTTGATCGCGTGCATGCTTGCAGCAAGGTTCAGAAGCCGCATGTTCTAAGCAAGCAGGCACTGGAACTGCAGGCAAACAAGCCGCTTCAGCTCTGAATGGACTGAGCGCGAGAGTGACATCGAAAGAGGATCTCGAGGATTTCCTGAAGACCACTGGCCCGTCAGCCGCCTACGAGGGCGAGGACGGAGTGCTCCAGACATTTCCCAGACCCCCGCAGATTGGCTGGCAAGTCTTCAGGATGACTGGAGACAGAGAACGCCCAGCCAGGAACAGGCCAGGGCCAAGGCCGTTTGAACGCCAGACTTGCGTTTCTCGGACTACCAGTGCTGAGGTTGCATTCCGACAGAGCCGGAGAATAGGATGAGCCCGCAGTGTGCCTCCCGTGGACCCGTCGAACGGGGGTTTGTCCATGTTCCCCGTCTTTGGGAACGTAGGTGTCCGAAGCGGACAGCAGATGGCTTACGCCACAAAAAGTGGGATGTTTGTCTCATCTTTGGAATTCCAAGTTGGCTCATGCCTTTACGTGACCGCGGCGGTCCAAGCTGGCTTAACGCCTCAACGTGGTCAGAGCGACCGAAGTACTTTTGAGGTTCGTTGGAACCTGTTCCACTCTCAGGTGCACACACAGCGCTTACATTCAAACTAGGCAGGTCCCTAGGTGCTTTTAATGAGGTTTGGTCTCATCGGTTCTCGTCCCCTCCATTTGGTTCCCCCTTCATCCCTTCCCCTTCACACACTTTTGTTTCCTCTTTTCTTTCATGTCCTCCTGTCTTCATGTCCGGTCATCTCATCCTTTTCTTCGTTTGCGCGCACATTGGTCCCGGCCTTAGTGTGCACGTGCACTTCTACATACCTAAAAAAAGAGGTTTCAGGTCGCCCAGGTCTTTACAATGAGGTGGGCTTCATCGGGTGTCCCTGTGCACTTGGTTTCCCCTTTCATTTCAACCACACACATCTTTGTCCTGTCTCGTCCTCTTGTCATGTCTTCATTGTTTTGTCTCTCGCGCGCGCACACGTGCACATTTGCCTTAACCTTAGTTTTACGCCTCCCCTCGGGGAGGCGTGTGTGTGTGTGCCCCTTGTAGTCACAGGGATTCATTTGAATTGTTTTTTACTCAGCAGGGGGGCAATTCCACGTTACAGTTGATTGCCCAACGAAGAGGGCTGCAATGTGGCTGATATCCGGAAGGGGCGCCTTCTGGACGTCCCTGCTTGGTTGTGGCGTTGACAAGCTTTCACTCCAATCTTCTCGTGAAGGGCTAATGAGTTCTGCAGATGAGCACGGCGCGTCGTCATCTTGCTCGACCCGCAATCGTCGCTTTGTTCTTCCGCTTTGGGCCCCTTCTCCATTTGAGGACCCCGAGGTTCCAGTGGTTTCCTACTTGTACTCTTAAGAAATGGTACCCTAGGCCGGCGTGTGGCTGTCAAGTCAGTACGCATATCCATAAGTGTGTGAACGCATACGGTTCGATGCCAATGGAGCTCTGAGTGTCCCGGCCAAAGTACCAGTGTTTCTTTGTATTCTCAAGACCTCAAGAGGTCCCGGATATGTTTGATGAGACCAAGCTGACATCATCTGGGACCCAGACCACCGATCCGTCGATGATATGTGATATTCCATGTACACCTAGAACCCAAAGGACCTCTTTCAAGGGACTTTTACCAAAACCCACATATGGTGGCTTCCTCTCGAAAATGGTGGCCAAATGGGTTTCAAGATATTATGCATCAAAGTAGCAACCCATATCCATTTGGCACATGGATTGAGCACATTGGTGCTGTAGGAGAAAAACATGAACCTAGCCGTCAATGATCACTCATGTTAACGCTGTGCGTTGGTCTGTAGAGGGTTCAGTCCGTAGCCATTTTGGCTCAAGCACGGGTTGTGGCACGGAGCTCAGCAACACCCCTTGTGTGCCAACACCCTATGGCAGAGACAAAAGCTGAAGCAGGTGAGCGTCACACCGCAAACACGTACCGTGGTGCTGCACCTAACACACAGCAGCCCGATGATGCCGCCCCCCAAGACAGCAGCCAGGCACAGCCGCGCGTAGTACCACCTAAGGTGTACACAACCCCAGACAGTATAGAACTCGGCCCTGGGCTGGGAGCACAGAGAAAGACTCCGGGATAGATGGCCTGAGCTTAGTGCCTATCGTGAGGCAGGCTTGCCTGCCTGATCAGCACGATGTGTTCTTTGTGCATGACCTTAGCTTGCAACCTGTGGGAAATGACGCAGATTGCGCAGAGCTCCGAACAAGCCGCCGTCTAATGTCAACTATTAGGACCACGCTGTGTGCGGCATTGGGCGACTATGACAAGGTGCTCCTTCACACACCCACTACGCCCAAGATCCACTTAAGCGCCACGCTCTCTCGTTACGTCTCAGGGATCGCAACATCCTCCGTACATACACGGACGGGGACGATTACCGTATGAACGGTAGGGCCGAAGGGGCCATCAGCCAACTGAAGAGAAGGCCCGTACTCTTCTCATCTCAGCCAACCAAGGCCCATAGGCATCCCCCATAGGCGTCCCAAGGCCCAACAGGCACCCCATCGCAGGCCCAATAATAGGCATCCCACGGCCCATAGGCACCCAGGCATCCCAACCCATAGGCATCTCAAGGCCCGTAGCAAGGCCCACAGGCACCCCAACGCAGACAGGCACGCCAAGGCCCGTAGCAGGCATCCCAGGGCGTGCAGTAGGCATCCCAAGGCCCATAGGCATCCTTTCGACATGGTGGTGATCTTCTATAGGCGGTCTGATTTCGTGACAGTGCAGTGAATCGTGACTTTTGGGGTGGTTTGCAGATTTCGTAGTCAAAGACCATAAAAAGAATGGTCTTTAGGGGAACTGAAAGGGAACTTCCATTACTCCAGCCTGTCAAAATATAGTCTTTGGACTTCTAGGGTTTGCGTACGAAGTGCAGATTTCGCGGCAGGCGCAGCACTTTGTGCTCTCAGACGCTCACTCTCACTCTCACTCTCACTCACAGTCTCACTCACTCTCACACTCACACTCTCACTCTCGCACTCTCACACTCTCACACTCACACACTCACACTCTCACACTCACACTCACACTCACTCACTCACTCATTCACTCACTCACTCACTCACTCACACTCACACACACTCACACTCACACACACACACTCACTCACTTACTCACTCACGCACTTCTCACTCTCACTCTCACTGTCACTCTCACTCTCTCACTCTCTCACTCACTCACTCACTCCCTCCTCACACTCACACTCTCACTCTCGCTCTCGCTCACACTCACTCACTCACACCCACACTCACTCACCACCACCATCACCACGATCTCCACCTTCCTCACCACTCTGGACCTCACACACAGGGTTTGGGGTCTCTTGCCGGAATATTTTTGGGGGGGAGTCGTTTCCCAACTAAACATCAGCAGCTGGTTGCAAGGTGTCGTCCCCCCTTCTCTTTTTCCCAAAGGAAATCGGCTCCTGGAGGCGGACGGATTTGGTTGCTTGCAGCACTCGTTCCACCACAGTGCGCTGCCCTGGGAGTTCCAGGAAAGACGGGTTTGTTTTTGTTCATGGACCCAAAAAAGACGGTCACATGACCTGGACTTTCCAGTCAAGACAGTCCTGGACTCCCAGGTCAGTGCACTCGCCTGTATTTTTTCTTCACCGAAAAACACATCGGAGTCCTTCGGAAGGATCCTAAACACTTTTCCACTGACCTGTCAGTGGTGGCAATGGTCACTATCGTGGAACTTCACTCACGGGTTTTTTGAGTGAAGTACCCTCCATGGCAGGGGTCCAGGCCCGAACCAAACCCTATGTGTTTGAGGGCCCGGATTCTTAGGGTAAAGAGCAGTTCCAGTGAAAACAATGAGGAGAAAACCAACCAGAACCCCTTCACAAACCGGCTGGCAGCTGAAGCTGGGTAGTGTTTCTTTTCAGGGCACCGGAAGCGACCGGGTCGGTGAAAAGACTGTGCGCAAGGAAAAACAAAGACACGCAGCATCCAGGGATCTTTGAAGGATTCAGACATCACCCGCTGGGGGTACCCACACCAAACCAAAATGAAAAATAACCTTTTTGGAGGGGGGTTAAGATGCTGGTTTCGGCCTCTTCCGACCGTCTTGGAGGCAGCACGCTAGCACGCGAAGCATGTGCCGAGCCAACCCGAGGTTCGGCGAGACAGTCATCCCGGAGGCCGATCAGTTGGGAGCCCTGGGGAGGATCTGGAGGGCACGGGTTCGGGGATAGACGGGATCCCTTTTATGGCATGGTTGATTCAGTTTCCCGATGTTTTGGACAGCAAATACGAGGTGTTAAAAGTCGAAAGGCTCCCAGCCAGTGGTTTTGTGATTGTGTGTGGCTGATCTTCGGCACTGGAATTCATTCATATCCTGGATCCACTCATCCGCCAACGTTCGGTGCTGTCTGATGGTGCCCAGAAATCACCTGTGGTCGGATCCTGAAACCGCCTTTTGTTCGAGAGATCGCATGGAAACAAGGTGGAGCATGTCGACATGCGCTTGCGTCCCACTGGGCCTGTTCGACGTGACTTGAGCACGTGGCAAACATGAAGATCTCATGGTGTGTTTCTGCATGGTTCTGCCTTCTCAAGTCCGACCAAATCCTGTGATTGGGGTTGGTCTTCTTGGGTTTGACCAGGGTGTTTTGCGTCACAGCTTGCTTTGACCGAGAGGTTACATGAGAGGTTTAGGATGGTTTAGGGATCAGCCTGGGGTTCCTAAGTGGAGTTTAAAGTTAGACTACAATGGTCTTGGCAGGCAAGGGGATCAGCAAAGAATTCCAACAAGATCCGCAATATTCTTCTCAAGTTGGAAAAGCAAACAGCTCGCCACCTGGTTTCCAGTTCACACGCCCACCAATGCCCACATGATTGTAGAGCTATTTCAGCCAGTTCTGGAATTCAATTGTTTACAAATGAATTCTCTATGGAACAGATCCCTGAATTCGTTTCCATCGAAAATGCCGGAACCAAATTTGCATTCTGGGGAAATGTGAAATACAACTTGTATGACTAGCGTCAATTATCATAGCGCACCACTGAAACACTACCTTGAAGTTGTGTTTTCTCAGCCTAGAGTTCATCCCCTAGAAGTCCAAAGACTTAAATGTTGACCGACTGAAGCAAAGGAAATTCCTTCTCGGGTCACCTAAAGACAATTCGTTTTATAATCCTTGAGTTTGAAGGCTAGGAGTTCCTCTGTCTGTGGAAGATGAGTCCAACTGGTGTACCCCCCGCTCGCGGACGATTTGACACGCCCCAAATCCCCAGCCTAAGAAACTTTAGGACAAGTCCCACGGGTGGTTTCTAGAGCTTTCTTCCGCATGTGAACACGGGACTCAGGTGGGTCAAGAAGAATTTCGAAGAAATGCGAGAATCTCTGGAGCCAGTGCCACGGCTCACATGGCTGACCGGTTTTGGTGAGTTGGACGTCGTTGATTTATATATGTGGCTCGCCGATGTCCTCGGGACTTCCGGATCTTGACTCCGGGACTGTGACAAACCTGGAAGTCATCAACCACCACTACTCATGGTGAAAAATGAGTCATGCCTGGACTCTCGACTTGGCAAATGTTCAGACGAGAATGTGGATATGAAAGAAAACAGGGAGACCTCCCAGGCAACGCCCTCCTGCACGAAGGTATATAGACCAGTCTACCCATTGGTTTTGGGATCCCCCTATTAAATTGCACACCCGTATATCCTGGCCTTCCTGGCGCACCCTTGATTGAATGGGTTAAATCCCGACCAACCATTGGACCATTCTTTAAGTAAGGGTTTCATACCTGGAAACGGTCCAACTGTGCAACATATCTGCCTGAAAAGGCAGAAACTTGTCACACCAACAGAGGTTGAAGGACCTTATAGGACCCTACTGGGGGACCCAGAGGATAGCCGAACTAGGGTTCTTCAACCTCTGTTGGCAGTTGGAAGATCCAGGTCTGTTCGTTTGGCCACTTGGCCTTCGTCAAGTCCGGCCACTCGTGGAGAACGGTGCAACAGTGCGTCATGACGCCCCCCTCGTCTCGCGTCGGCGAGACCGAGTGGTGCGGTCGATGTGAGTGGGTGGCTGGGGCGACCCGAAGGTTCCGCAAAATGTGTCAGTTTGGAATTCTTAAGCAGGGAATTCTTCTCAAAGTCGTGAATGATTGGACGGCTGAAGAGTTGACTGTGAAAAGAAAACTCTGGTATACTTCAGAATGTGAATGGGTGATTCCTGGGTCTTGAATGATATTTGAATGATTTGCCGGGTTTAGAGTGTGAGTGATGGGTTGAAGATGGCCAATTCGATGATGCTGAGACCCCAATGAAAAGCGAAAAAGACACTGAAGCAAGTCGTACCATCCACTGCAGGTCTCATGTAGACTCTTGATAAATAACCCCCCCCGCGGTATCAAGGGTTGTTCAATCCAAAGGGGGTCTGAATCAGGAGTCTGCATTGATGGACCGCCCTACACTAGCTACAAAGGCGTCTCAATTGGACACTCGCTGGATGATGCAGGTTGGTGTCCTTCACCTAGCGCGTCAGTGATCCTCTTTTAATCCGAATCCTGTTGCCTTTCCAGCTTTGCCCAAGCTGTGCGTGACATGTTGTCACGGGTGTTTTTGCGTGACATGCCTGTTTGTAAAGCTCGCCAATTGAATATATCTTGGGAAAGCTTTGCCTTAGACTTCCAACCACCCTTGATTTAACACTACAACACCAGGTCGACCATTTCTTAAATGGTCTTGGAAGCCTAGGGCCCTAGGGTTTGGTTTGCTTTCATGTTTGACCCGAACCCGTACGACTTGTGAGCAAGGGGCTCAGATGTGAACATCTGAGGTCGTCCAAAACGAGCAGTCGCGCAAGTATGAGTCTTGGATTGACCATGGACTCTGGAGCCCAATACGAACCCAGAAACATCGCATGGATGCACATCTCATGACACAAGGCTCGTCAGGCTCCTAGCTCTCCCACTGGTCAAATTCCTGATGATTGCATACAATGACATGGGTGTGTGTGTGTGTGTACACCTTGGATTCGTAGGTTGTCTGTGGACTAGCACGAGGATCACACACGAACTTGACTGGCCATCCAACGAAGAGAGTCAAGTTCCGTGCTGATATCTGGCCTGTTCAGCCAGACTTACCTTCTCGATTGATGACTTTCACTTCCTTTTGGCCCCTGCTTCAGAACAAGATGACCAGCAACTCCTTCCGTTCCGTGTTCTGCAGACAAGTGCTCGTCGTTCGATCACCGATCATTAGTGACGTTGGTGGGATTTGTGACTTGAAAACTTTGAGCGTTGTGAACTTGGGCTGTTGGAGTTTGAAGCAGGGCCTTGGACGGCCACACATTCCACTGCACAAGAGGAATACTCAGGCAACTTTTCACTTGGGCCTTCTTGGGAGGTGGCGCATTCACACCTTACATATACTAAAACTCAACCGTTTGTGTGTGTGTGTGTGCAAAGGGGGTGCGTGGGGTGGTCAAACCTACCGCCCTCCGCAGCTGCTGCATTTTCGACACGGGGCGTACATCGGTCGAGGATGGTTTAGGTTTGGGACGAAGAAGTTCACCAAAGCGCTTGAAGCCATCTCCCTCCCCATGGTTCAACGAATGCGGAACTCGGTTGCCGGTCCAGGGGCTTCCGGAAGGGCCTGGCAGGTCTTCCGGCACCGTGCCAAGGACATGAACGAGCTGGAACGTATGATACGCATGAAAGAGCAGGACCAAGTGTTGGAGGTGTGCAAAGAATGGTATTGATAGTTAATTATGGTTACCCTGGGAGTCCAAGACGATGTTTAAAACGGTCTGACTTGGTGATCCGAAAAGGAACTTCCTTTACTTGGGTGGTGCCGAAAATAGTCTTTGGACTTCTATATTATTTGATAAGAACTGGTTTGGGGCGGCCTCTCGGGCTTGCGGACGCGTCGCTTCCGCCCCTGGCTGTTCGACGGATGCACGGGAGGGGACGGTCATGAACAGCATGGGAATGGTAAAAAGGTGAGGAGGGACGAATGACCCCATGTGGAAACATCCAAAGAAAACACCCCCCGAGTGAAGACAAGTACATGCGAAGACAAGCAAGGCTGCATCACATCAGTTTGAGGTAATCCCGGACGTGATCGATGGCCTTCACAAAGTGCTTGTGTGTGTGCATCAAGTTAGGACTGCACAGGAGTGCACTTATTCTTGAGTCCTCCTCCAAAACCTATTTCCCATGGCTCAACTCGCGGAGGTGCCAAACCCGGAGACCGGACACCGGATACGCCTCGTTGTTCCGCTTTAAGCATTTGGAGTTTTCCGAGTGTTCCGCACTCCGTTCGCAGTGGGGCCCTGATGGCTTGAATTATATATCCTGAATGCGTAGCGAAGGGTTCTCGTTTAACTCTGGGGGTCTGGGGGTAGACTCTTGTTCGCAACTTGTTGTCGTAGCGTTCGCAACCGTCCGCCGCCGTTCGCAACCGCTGACATTGGGCGAAGCTTTTGGAGAAGGTGACATTGGGCGAAGCTTTTTTTCGTATGAAATAGCGAGGAAACGTGTGGAAGCGTTTCATGTTGAAGTGTGGGGATGATTCCACTGCGCAGGTGCGTTTTGTGAGATCCTCAGCTTTCTTCGCATTCAGGTTGGGGTTGCGTTTTGAGGGTGGTGTTTTTGGGGTGTTGGATGTGGCTGTTACATCAAGATTTGCGTTTCAGGCTGTCACTTCCAAGCTGTGATTACGTGACAAAATGGTGATTTTGGTGGATGGGAGTGTGCTCACGCCTCGAAATCATTCCAAACATGTGGTGCGGTGCAAATTTTGCTGAAGACCTGAAGATGTCATGTCGTCACTCACAGTACTTTGTGCGTGTTGGAGGTGTCGAGGTTGCATTTTCGTGGCAGACGCAGGGAATCGTGAGGCCGCGATGTTTGGTGGAGGTGAATGTTGTGGCTTTCTGCTTCGCAGGGCTGCAGAATGTTGTCTCTGATCAGGCTTCCCGTTTCACTTCAGTCTAGTACGAAACGCTGGCTTTGCAGACTTGACGCATGAATTTTGGAGGAAGTCTCGTACGAAATGCTGACCAGGAGATCACTGACGCGGTGAGTGGACCAGGAGGCACCAGCAAGAGTTGGCAAGTTCTCAGCCGCGCAACTGAAGCTTTCTCCTCAACACACGAAATCTTGGCAAATCTCTGCTCTGTTGTGCGCCGAGCAACCATTTAGCAGCGAGCACGGCCCAAACCCTCAATGAAGTGATGGCAAGGCATGAGATGAAGCAAATGCAGCTCTTCTCCCGTAGCAGCTCTCGCTATGACGACTAGTCAGCGCCTCGCCCTGCTGCACGCAGGCCGTGCAGTCGCCCCAATGTCGCGTCGCAGCCCTTCAGGGCCAGGCGCTACTGCTGCCGTCCAGCAAGGACGAGAGGTCTACCCATGTATACCTCAGGTAGCTTGATGAATCACTGGGCTAATCATCAAGGAGGATTTCAGACTGAGACCATATCACCGTCGTCCGCATTGAGAGCCATGCTTCCCATCGTCATTGCTTTGCTTGAGCAGGTCCTATAGCACACTTTCGGCACATGACACGGTCAGAAAGAGACGGAGTGATTGAGATGCTGATGCCATCTAAGGACTGGGTGGATGGCCTCATAGACACATGGATAAAAGGCATGGGCAAGGGCATCCCTGCTCCATCTCAGCCCATGCCTGCAGCTCCACAAGCTGATGAGCCCCCTCAAGAGCCATAAGATGAGGAGATGGCTGGTGAGCCAGAAAAATTTTGGACTCCATGCTGGAAAAGGAGATGGTGGTGAGCCAGGAAAGAAGGAAGATGGAGGAGGAAAGAAAGAAAAAGATGGAGATGGTGGAAAGGGAGGTGGTGGAGTCCCAGAAGGGAGGTCAACATACAAAGGAAGTGGAAGAGATGGTGGTGCTCCACAAGCTGACCAACAAGACAGGGGCTCGCAGTGGAACCGACAGGAGTGCTACCCTTTGAATTGAATTTTAGGATGGCTGCAAACAATGAGAGTGTCAGGAGATCCTCAAGGACTCCACGACCCGCTTCGCGCTGGCTACTTTTGCTTCATCGGGCTGCACGGACATGGGCCGATCGTTGCGTCATAACAACAAGGCTGTGATGGCAGCTCAGGCCACATCCATTCAGATCCATGGCAGTGTCAGACGTGACCATTTGATGGCTGTCCTTCAGGCCTTCAGGTCAGTGGCTTCAACCGCATCTAAGAGCGCCAATGGCAGACAAGATCCTCAGTTCAGAATCATCTGGGTGGAAGGAGATCTTCCTCGTTTGACCTCCCTTGCGAAGAACACTCTGTCCGTTGCCTGGGACTCGTCAAGGGGCGTGACGGCATGGGCCTCCGCTACAAGCACGACGACTTTGCAACAGCGTGGAAGAGCATCCATCCTACCAAAGAGATTCCTCCTGATCTTCAAGGAGCTGAGTGGATCAAGATCCAACCGCTACCTTTTGGGACCTCCAAAGAAATGCTGGTTCAATGGGCTCAGACCTACAAGTGGCAGATCAAACCCATCAGGCAGATTGGTGCTCGGGCCTGGTTGGTTGCAAGCAATGAGCCGATTCCATCTGGGATTTTGCTCTACAATTCTGCCCCTGTTTTGGACCAGCCAATACCGCCCAAAGCAGACAGGCCATCTCCCATTGTTGTCGGATCTGCTACTTAGAGCTCGTCCTCCACTACCAGTACGACAAATGCCAGCCAGCCCTCAGATCCATGGGCCCAGTATCTCGCTGCCCAAGGCAGACCGATTGCTGCCCAAACTGCCCCCAGACCAGTACCACGGTTTGAAAGTCCTTCCTCAGCTGGGTTCACCGCGACATTTTGCAGTTTTAACGCTACATTAAACATCAACCTTCACGATTCAACAATCCAAGCACACTTGGGTTCTTCCACCAACGACCAGCACTGGCACCGGCGCCCGGCACCAGCACAGCAACCTGTCTCCACCACATGCACAGCACAGCCAACTCACAGCACCGGCACCCAGCACCAACACCAGCACCAGCAACCTCCACGCGCACACAGCCAGCTTATAGCGCCAGCACCAACACCGGCGCCCAGCACCAGCACCAGCAACCTGTCTCAAAAGGGCGCACGGGCAACTCATTGTTATTTGAAGCAAGAACCCCATAGCTTTGCTATCTGGGGAATAAGGGAATGGCCTCAGCACGAAAGGATATTATCAAATACAGTCCTGCGGCAAACCTTTAGCGCACTTCCAAACCACTATGATAGGAGATCGGCGCTCTGACCTCCCTTCGCAGCTCAAGCCATATTCAGCAGCAAAGCGCTCCAGGTCGTTCTAAGCTAGTTTTCACAAGGAAGCCAGGAGGTGCCCGGAAGAACTGCGCGTTACAAGCTTTTGTCAAGGATAAACTGCTGTACCTGTACTTGCGCGTTACAAGCTTTTGTCAAGGATAAACTGCTGTACCTGTACCTGAATGCTTTAAAACTATATTAGTAAACAAACCTTGGTGCTCTATGAGAGAGGAAGCATACGCTATTTTTAAGTAGACAGTCATGATACTGATGCTTTTCTTTTCGGTGTATTGGTGCCCAATGCAACACCCCTTCGACGACCAGGGGCGGAAGAAAATGCTGCAGTAGGTAGACGCACCGCCCTCCTCGGTCTCCCCCCTGCGGGCACAAGAAGCTGCAATTCCTCCACTATCGGCTCACCCCCCTGCGGGCACAAGAAGCTGCAATTCCTCCACTATCGGCTCACCCATTGCAAGGTGTTTCTGCAAAAAGGAAAGGAACGGAAAGAAACCCAAACCATACAATGATCTTTCGCTTCGGTGTAAATTCGGCGTGTCGCTGGGGAGCGGGATGTTTGGCGGTGTCCACGGGGCTTGGTGTTACATTGTTGTATGTAGTCTGCGGCAGACCACAAGAGCGTCGTACACCACAAGAGTAGCCCACGAGAGTTTTCCACAAGAGTGGGTGCCCCACAAAAGTCTCCAACAAGAGTGCCCTACAAGAATCTCCATCAAAAGTGTCCCGCAAGAGTGTCCCACAAGAGTGTCGCGCCAGAGTATTCCACAAGAGCGTCCCACAAAAGTGTTCCACAAGAGTGTCCCACAAGAGTCTCCTACAAGAGTGTCGCACCAGAGTTTCCCACCAGAAGTTCCCACGAGAGTGTTCCATGACGAGTGTCGCACAAGAGTGCCCAAAACGGTTTTCCACAAGAGTGTCCTACAAGAGTGTCGCACAAAAGTGTTCTACAAGAGTGTGCCACAGGAGCGTCAAACAAATTTTGCCGGTTGGTTGTCGAGTGCGTGTTTGCGATCGGGTTCGTGGGTTCCATCTTGTTGTTTCGGCTATGCTCCACTGCGTGTAATTACTGTCCAAGAACCCTGGCTCTCTAGTGACCTTGGGGCATTGAGCTGAGTGAATGTTCAAGATGTCATCCTAGTTTTGCTTAGGATGATGTTTTTGTCCCGAACTAGGTGAATCATCCTGGCAAAGGGAATACATGGGAATATGTTGTCTGTTTCCTCCCAACTTTTCCGATTTCAGCAAATCCAAAGTGATGTTCGGTGTTTGGAACTCCAATTCCTCCTGTATGCGCCTCAACTCCCACCAGTCGCCCAGCGAGAAACCGCAGGAAGATCAATGGTCGGACGCCCAGCAGCGCAGCACCGAGGAGTTGTTGCACACCCATGGCCGTCTCATGCACCGCCCCTCGGGAAAGAACTAGAAGAGCTGAGCTGGTGGAGCAGCTTGGGAGGGTAGAAGTTTCATGCCTGGAGAGGAAGGGCAGCGAGTTGCACATCCGCAAGGGCATGTCCAAGACCGAGAGGGTGTTTTAGCTGGCTAACTCGTTTTCTTCAGCATGTTTGGCAGCCAATCGCAACAGACTCTGCTTGGAAGTTGATTTTCTGCTGCTGGGAGTGCAACATTGATCATTCGGGGACTGGCAGTGTTTTCCTTGTGTGGTGCAGCAGGATATACATGGATAAACCATGGAAGATGTGACACACGGTTCTTGATATTTTTTCAGGACCTTTTGGTTGAGGTAATGAGAGTGTGATTCCTAATTCGATCATAGGGGGTTTAGCATGACTTGGAACCAGGATGTATTCGGTCGGGTTTCCGGGCGCGTAGCTAGAGATCTTAAATCCAGGAAACATCTCTATATAGATCATCCAACTGCGACAAACCTCTGTTTTCTCCATGAAACACCGCAAAAAGGCAGACATTTGGCATAGTTGGAAGCTCCAGGTATATAGATCATCCAAGGTCGCAAGAGTTAGAGGGTGCACCCATGCTGGGCCGCTGGGCCCCTCTCGCTCTACCTCTCGCTCCCGACAGGTTCGGTGACCAGCTTGGAGGAGATGGTGCGGCAGGTTCGCCAGGCAGGGCCCACTGCAAAATAGAAGGTTCAAAAATGTTTGAAATACATCAAGTAAATGTTTTTTGGTGATGTGAAATCCATCAAGTAAAGCAATGGTGTTCGATGTCTTTCGGGATTCAGTCGGATTCAGCCTATTCAATGAATGGCGCTGGGAATCCTAGGATTGGGATTGTGCTGCGGCCAAACCCGCGGAAAGTGACGGGGGGGTGTTCTTTCTCACAGGCCGGTGGTGTCAAGACTATAAACCACCGTGGGTGCCGATGGTAGACAGATTTGCTTAGTGTTTTTTGGCTGGTGGTTGGTTGTGAAACCAACAGTGTTCCCATCATGTGGAAACCTGCCAGCTAAGCTTCAGCGAATCTACAACTTGCCCAAGAATCAAGGACGGTAAAATGAGTTTCTGTGGAAGATAGAGAGTCTGTAGCAGCAACCCTCGTTACTTCGGGCTATGGAAGATCATGTTCGGTTTTCAAGGGTGTTGGGATTTTTTCCAAAGTTCGAAGCATGTGGCGAAAGTGCGCAGGTTCTTTTGGCTATAGAATTGCCATGATTTGCTATTTGTTCAGAAAGGTGCTTGGTGGAGATTTGGGCGCCAGTTGAGTTTTCCAAATCCGACGTGTCACTGAATGTCAACTCATGTAGACTCTTGGATTCGTAAACCTCCATATGAAGAGGTGTTACAATCCAAAACGGGGGAAATGTGTATAATTCTCGTTCGCGCGGAAGTTTCGGCTCAAGCAACGCGCTCCGGTAGCCGCAATGGTGAGGTTCGATGTGGATCTGTTCCTCAGATCCCCAGCTGGCAGGCTCTACGCCAGCGACCGTGGTACTGTGAAGTGCCTCCGGAAATTGGGGAAGTATGGTGAGAAGACACAAGAGACTGTCAAACAGTTGAACGCATCGCTCGGATCAGCGGGCATGACGGCTCTTGCAAAAGCCATCCGGGGCTACGTGTCTGAAGCCCGAGCGGATCGCTTGGTGGCACCGTTGAACCCCGACTTAGCGGGGAAAATGGTGGACCGGATTGAGGTTTTCTTGAGTGACATAGAGCTCGATGCACCGCCGTACAATCTTGAGAAACTGCCAGAAGTCTTTGGTCGTGCAGTGGGCATGAACTCGGACTCTTTCGTGGTCCTGTGGATTTTGGCAGGTGCTCCAGGTGGAGATGGCAAACCTGTCAAGGACATCTTTCCACGCGGTGGATATGTGAGGATCTGGACCAGAGAGGATTGGCCAGGAGGAAAATACATTAGTTGGATCGGGAACCAAGTCAGAAGTGGACATCCCAGAGCTAAATGATGATGTCGAGGGGACAGAAGACTTTGGGATGGACTCTGCCGAAGAGGAGGTAGAATTGGACGAGGAGTATCGTGTACTTGTCAAGCAGGGTTCCAAACGCCCTGCCTCTGCAATCACGGAGAAGGCAGTTGAGACCTCCGGACAGAAGAAGTTGCCTGTCCCTCCCGTGATGCAGCTCCCGAAAAAGCCCGGGAAGCAGCAATCCTTCGCTGACTATCTTGAGGCTGATGCACCTGTGAAGTCACAGGTGGGCACACCGAGGAAGGTGGAGATCACCAAGTCGAAGACTCCGGGTGATACCAGGAAGAAGGATTTGTTCAGAGACCATTCGCCCGAGGTGTGGCTTTGGGCACGGCTTCATTGCATAGGACCCCTAATCGGGCGGTTCGAAATCCTTTCCCACCGGCCTTGAGGGACACCCTTCGTGTGTCCCAACAGATTGTGCTAGTGGGCCACTTTGAAGTACTACTCGTCACGGCTTATTTTTTTGCTGGTCGCACGGCGGATGTTCGAGCAAAAAGTGATCTTCTTTTGGCTAGTATCTATCAACACTGTGCGGCTACCAACCTTCCGTTCATAATAGCTGCTGATTTCAATAACCCGGTCTGTGATTTCCCCGCGTATGCGGCTTTCCGTGCAGTCAGATGTCAAGAGGCCTTCCATTTTGCGCAACATCAGTTTGGGAAAACCTTACCACCGACATGCCGGGGATCAACACGGAACGACACCTTCATTGTACATGAGACTCTCGTCCCCCTAATCAGTGACATCTGGGTTGGGCCTGATGCCCTTTTCCCGGACCATCGACCGTTATTTATGCAACTCGAATTTCCAGGGACCCAATCGGTGGCTAAGAATTGGTTTATTCCGGCATCATGGGGTGACACCCCTTTCGATCCACAAACGCTTGAGGACTGTTACACTCGGTCGGATAGACGGTTCGTTCCAACTCAGTCACTTCAGTCAGAAGAAGCAGTTAATGATGCCTTCCTCCGTTGGTCCAAGGGAGTCGAACATGCAGTCAAGAAATGTATCCAAGTTCAACACAAGAATGACCCAGTTCGTTTTCCAAATGCTAGCCTCCCTGGGAAATACTTTGGACGATGCTGTCCAACAAAGTATGTAACACATACTGCTCCACGCACTGTCAGGAGGGATCCAACCCTAGGATATGACCCCCCAGTGGAGGCCACATCATCAAAATCCAGACTGAAGGCACGACAAACGCGCAGATTGATATCATTTACCAAACACATCAAACATTTGTCCAACATAGCAAGCCAACCACAACTCTTCTCGCAACTGTTACATGAATGGACCGTGATCCGTAGAGCCCAGGGATATGGCAGATCTTGGGAGACATGGCTCCTGAGTTTTGAGTGTATTCCTTTCGTTCCGGTTGAGTTGCCATCCCTGGAATGGCTGTCCGATGCAGTGCAAATTACCCGATTTGACGCGGACGCTTTTGCTCGTCAGGAGGCCTCCCTTCGTAAACACCACAAGAAACATTGTATTGCCTTTGCTCAGTCTCATACCAACAACGCCGGTGCTTATCGGTTTATCAAACGTAAAGAGCAAAGATTTCTGAATGATTTCCCAGTAGATAAGTCCACTCATGCCACTTTGTGTAGAGCTCGCCATAACTCCCCCAAACTTAAGATGCACCCACCAATCCACCTTCCAATTGGAGCCAAAATTCTTTTTGGAACCTGCACAGCCACAGTGCAATCGCTAACAACCCCCTTCGTCACATTGCACAATGTAGAGGGCATTCTCCCGGGCCAGGGAGAGCTGCATTTCCGTACCCATGCATATACTATCCAAGACATGTCACAGAGTTTCCATTCGTTTTGGTCTCAATTCTGGCAGCGGGATTCGCCACATGAGCAGTCTGCGGATGAACCTTGGTCCGACCTTCTCGATGACCTAGATGATACTGTCCCGCTCCAGCCTATGCTTGACATTAAGATAGATGACCCCGCCTGCCTGTGGGAAACTATTCGACGTTTAAAATCACATAAAGCCCCGGGAGTTGATGGGTGGCACGCAGAAGAACTCCAAGCTTTGACTCGCACTATGGTTGTTGACCTATCTAAGTTGCTTGGGTGTGTTTGGTCCTCGTGCCTTACTCGTCGCCTCATGCAAGCGCGTACTCTTTTATTCGCTAAAAGGGACAACCCTGCATCCATCTCCGATGGGCGCCCTATCACCATTTTGGGCTACCTTTCCCGCTTGTGTTCAAAACTCGTCTCAGACCAAATTCTACAGCACTGGGCCCAGACCTGGCCTCCGGAGATCAGTGGCGGTTTGCCACGCCGCTCAGCGCGATCTTTCTATTATGCAGCAACTTCAGATAGAACATGCTAAGGCCCACCACACGGCCTGGGGGGGGTGGACCATGGACTTGGTCAAAGCGTTTAATCTAATTCCACGACGAGTCATTCGACATATTCTACGCCTGCTAGGAGTTCCCGCATGGGCCACTGATTTTTGGTTCCGCTCATTAGTCAACTTGTCTAGATCTCTGCAGTGTGGTCAATCTCTGGGCGAGCCCCAATTCTCAACAACTGGTCTGCCCGAAGGGGACTCGCTCTCGGTTGTTGGTATGTTGGCGTTAAGCTTTGTCTTTTATCACAAACTGAAGTCCCCTCGTGTCTTCCCATTCGCTTATGCTGATAATTGGAGCTTTATGTCCACCTCTGAGCGAGCGTGTTTCCAAGCAATGTCCACCATCCTTAACCTTGTTCATGACCTAAAAATGCAGATTGATTTCTCCAAGTCGTGGTGTTGGGCCACAACCAAGCAATTTAAAGCCTTTTGGAACGATGCATCCACCTTACTCCAGCAACCAGATTTTCGATTCCAAATTAAGAGTCACGTACATGATCTGGGATGTACCATATCCTATAATAACGCAGTAGTCTTGGGCCCTCTTCGTGATAAGATAGACAACGCTGTGGCAAAATGCAATCGCGTGAGAAAACTTAACCTGACTTTGGATGAAAGGGCTGAGAAGATCCAGGTCGCCGTCTGGCCTGCAGTTTTCTATGGAGCTCTTGGCACCTGTATAGGAGCGAAGCACTTTGCTACCCTCCGTCGTGCGGCCGCTACGGTCCTAGTCGGTGATCACAAGCACGCCTCAAGCCACATAGCCTTGCATTTCCTTACTGATAGAGTTCAAGACCCGCTTTTGTATGTTGTCACCGATATGCTAACAACCCTGCGACGATTGTTTCTCTATCATCCAACGTTAGCTAATCAGTTCCTGGTCTCTGTTCGCGCCTTTGAAGGTCGGGTTTGTGGCCCTGCCAGCGCACTGGCGGCCTATCTTCGACAACGGGGGTGGGAACTCACGGCCAACGCTACCCTGCTGGGCCCTGGCGGGCTGCGAATCACACTTCCTGCCTCTTCCAATAAACAAATTCGATCGCAACTTCGCATCGCATGGGATTGGTACTGTCACCAACAAATCCTTCATCGTAAGGGCGTTTCCTGTGAACCCTTCGACTCATTGCACACAATTAGGATCCTCCAGAAGTACACGGACCGCCAACGCAGAATTTTGGCTCTCAGCCTGACATCGGGCTGGCAATCTCTTGGTGGTGTTGCCCAGTGGTCTGCTTCTCAAGACCCATTGTGCCCGTGGTGCTCACAGTATGACACCCACTCTCATCAACTCCTCGACTGCCCTGTTTTTCAGGA